GTACAGGACCGGAGCAAATCCAAACCTTCCTAGGGGACAGCCAAGGTAAACCATGAACACTTTGCTCTATGGCTGGCCAACACACAGAGGCAACCATTCAATCTCACATTCAGACCTTTGGCCAAATTAGAATTGCTTGTTAAACTTGCAAACAAAAAGCTTGGGACTGTGGGAGGAAGCTGGAGAAACCAGGCTCCCAGCCATTACTCTCTTTGTGCTGAAGTTTCACGACCAAAACTTTAAGACATCTGCACCAAAAATGCCATTTCAGCCAGTCAGACTGTTTTGTGCATCATTGTTTCCTTTATATAGGCTTACATTGCTTTGATCTTTGAAGATGTACATGCTAAGAAAAATAAATTTCCCTCAAATAGTTTAAACCTGAAGTACAGTAACAAAGTATTTGTACTTTTTTACTGCTCACCTCTGCTATAAGTGGCAAACCAGGCTGTAACTGCACCAACAGTAGCTCCTAGTGAAGAGTTTTTGTAATGTGTATTTAAATAAAGCAATGGGTTTTGATTTCATAGCTTCTGATTTTACTAATTTTCTTAGAATATTAGGGATAAAAAATTAAAAAGGTGCTGTGCATATTTTACTAACCAAAGTTTCTGATATTTTGTTCATTAGCACGAACATCGACCACTACAACCATGGTCCTCGATCACAAGAACGGAGACGCTGGGGCACCACCTATGCGGGTGTTGAAGAAATCCTTTACAGATGACTTTTACTCTACTTTCAGCTCCCCGCTGGCCTGGATCTTGGTTCTGGCTCTTATCATTACTTGGTCTTGTGTGTTCGTCATTATGTTTGATCTAATGGACTACAAGACCATTTCAGGTACAGTATCAGCAGCCTTTCAGTTTCCTGTGGAGTTGAAAATGATATTTTGAGGGTAAACTTGCTAATGCAGGAAGTCAATCAATGAACAACCAAATGGGACTGGTTTGACCAAAGCAGCTGCAATAACTGTATTCACTTTGGAGTGATAAAGAGGGAAATTTCTAAGCAGTATATGAGCAAATTAAGGAAATTATGTCTCATTAGATAGGTTCACCTATAGTATGCTGTGCCAAATAACTAATAACAAATAATTAAGCAACACCCTGAGAACCAGTATACTGTGAATAATTTACTTTTTAACTTTAATGCAAATATACCTCATTATTTTGTATTTCACAATTACCTCATTTTTTTCATACATTTATGTTTCATCTGTTATTATACATTATGTTTTGTTGCCAATATAGAGTTGAGTGTTGAAAGATGATGGCATACCCACACAACACAAGCTTGGTCTAGAAAAGTACTGGAGGTCATAAATTCTGGTGTCTGTGTGTGCAGGTAGGGCAGCGTTGTAGTTCTTCTCATTACAGGGAGCTCTCCAATCCAGGAGATGTAAGATGAGCCGAGAGCCAGACCAAGTCCCAAATAAGGGAAAAGCCAAGTCTAAACTACAGCTACTCCCCAACTTTTTAACTAATCATGTTAATGTTCTGTTCATGTGTCTCATAATAAAAGTGTTTACTGTTTTGGTGTGATGCCCTTTGTCTGGTTGGCATGTGGTTTTAACTGCTTTGTAAATTTTGAAAACTTATACTTTGAGTTTATTCGTCTTGCCTCATTAAAAAAAAGAACCCAACAGTACCTGGGTGCCTTATCTGCACTAGGTCAAAGTTTTTATTGCAATTTATATTTGCATTTATTGTTTATTATTCAACTTTTTTCTTCAACAGGCCATAAGGTTTATCGTGAGATGAAGCTCATTTCATATTTACACAAACAATCTTTGGCATCTTAAACCAAAGATGAGGCTAGTATAATAATAGCAACAACATGTACCTCAAGGTGTGTGAATATGTTGTTAATCTGGTTGGACATGCCTTCAGTGTTTATCATTTGTAAAATCTCATGAACCTTCATACAGCTATGAGTGAATGAGCTTCCATGGGAAGGACAAAAGATTATGCTGATAAAGTCGTTTCCCAGTTTTCCGATACTTCTGTTGTTTGAAGCATTTTTTTAACTCTGATTTTATTTGAATGCATTTACTTACCACACACTGTCAGATGTCTGCAACTATGAACAACTGGTATGAAGCTTGCTAGTTTAATTTCTTCATATGTTCATATGTAACAGTAACACCACCAAATAACAAGCACTGGGTCATTTTGTCATCACTATATTAAAAAGCAATGCTTGGAAATCTATTAATTTAAGCTGTGTTCTAACTCAACGCTCATACACAAAAGAATCTGGGATAGCAGTAGTAGTACCAAACCAATTTCCCCACTTCACAGTATTGTTAATCAATTATGTTTTTAATTCTCAATTCAACTTAAAATTGTGGCACTGACAATTTTACAGTGAAAAGTGATATTAAAAAAAATTCTGTATAGTTTTTTTTTAATTTATTTTTATTTCTACTCCAATGCCTTTACTTTAATTTTATTTAATTCATTCAGTTTTCAGTTTTTTGTTTTAGTATAGTTTAAAATAACCTAATGGCAACACAAATATTTCAGCTTTCACGACCCTTCCTTTCCTTTCACTTTCTTTTCTCCATTTACTTTTATCTTCGTTTTCCTTTGCTTCATCACTGTACTTAAATTCTTTACTTATTGCCACTGTGTTTTTCATCCAACCAGGTCACCCACCCAGGAGGGTTTTTAAGGATTCAGGGCGTAGAGGCAAGGCACCATATCTGCTACCAAATCGTCAGAACAGATACTTCTTCTAAGGGCATTAATAAAAACAGCTACTAACTCCCTAACATTGACTGGTAATGTTAGCTGTCAATGTTAGAAAGTCCTTTACAGCCATGTTGGACCTGTAGAGGGATGCTAAATTAGGCTAAAGGCTGCCTTTTGTCTATTACTGCATTCATGCTTGATTCTGTCTGTTTTCTAGGTGTTCAGTCATGTTAAGAGTAGTTTATAGTTAGAAGAGGTTCTATAAATGAAGTGGACTAATTCCTGCTTGGTTTCTTAGGTGGTATTTGTTTTGTTATTATTCAAAAAAAAAAAATTGAATATTTGTAAAAGTAACACATTTTCTGTTTCAAAAAATTCTTTTGAATATTTGAAATTCAGGTATGCTTGATTTATTTACTGCAAGCATCAGTGTTCTCTGTCTACAGAGTAAGAAACTCAAGTTCTCCTGAAATCTTCAGATTTTAAACCAAACTGTGTTCCACTGCATTTCTGTTTTTCCTTTTTCCCAGTGCATATTTTAGCTTTACTTGGTATAAATTCTGTTTTATTTCAAGGTAAACAAAATCTGTTAAGGCTCATCTAGGTAATTCCAACATGAACAATGTTTTGGTTGTATTTCCACTTGGAATGCAGGTCCCTCTTTCATCAAATTGTCTTGCAAACAAGTCAGAAAATACTAGTCTTTTGAGTTTAATTGAATTCAGTTTGAAGGAATTTATTGCACAAGTTCTAATGTGCAGATTCAATGTCAGATTCAAATAAAGATGTTCAAACAAAGATAAACAAAAATATTTAAATATGAAAAGAAAAACAAACTTGTTATCCTGATTTTTAAAACTATGAACACCAACTTGATGAAAGACAGTCAATATGAATTTTAAATGCTTTTTGCACAGCAATATGCTCTATATTTGCAGCCCTTTGTGATGTTTAAACTGGAATGTCGGTTACTGTTCTTTATAATTGAAGATTGAAAAACTCCTGAAATGGAGATTTCTGCCTTTCAAGTTAAGCTCCTGTTGCTCCATCCCAGTTTGAACGTCATGCTTTCTCATTTCCTCTAGAGGAATGATAGCTTTGTCTGCATTGAGGAAATGTGACAATAAGAGTTGAGGAACTCTTAATTGTTGGGCTTGGTACAAAAACAAGCAGGTGAACAGCTTCAGTCAAACTTCACGAGTAACTAAAACATCTTTTTGTTTGTTCATGCTCCATCAGGAGGCCTCAGCAAGATCAGCTCAGACCCCATGAAGGCGGTAAACGATGCCGTGGACGAATCATCAAACATAATCACAGGAATAGTGAATTTTGCTGCCAACTTAATTGCTCCAGACGACGATGAAGGTTCATGACTTTATGAACGTATTCAAATTCTGTCACTGCAATTTATCTGATGATATGCTAGTTTTCACTTTTCTCTCTTCTTCTCCAGGAACTCTATATGCAGTCAGAAAAAAAGGTTTGTACTAATTCTGCTTTTGAGTGCATATCCCATTTAAATAATCATCCAGCTGCAGAATTTGAACAGCCTTGCTTGCTGCTTTTTGGACTTCTTTTTCACTGTGCTGCTTTACATGTGTTGTTCTCTGCATTATATATTCTCTGGGGGGTTTAAGTGGACTTCTACCAACATAAACCCCCTCCAGGAAAAGTAATTTCAACTGTCATTACGCATGAAAAATCAAAACTTTGAAATGGCAGTTTCTGGGGGCATGCTACTGCTTTGACTAATGTGTTTCATTACAATGAACAACACATTTACTGCAAGTTTTTTTTTAATGTGTCTCTGAAAAAAAAATAGATTTTTTTTCTAGAAGTTTTGATTTGTTGTATTAATAGAAGATACAACAGATGTCATTGCGTAAGCTTCATACTTTACAGACATAGTTTACTGAATTATTTAAGTTTATAGAAAGTTTGTTGGAAGGTATTCGTAGACATGCCTGAATAAAGATGCCAGCAGGGACAGAATCTTGTTTGCTGAAATGGTGTTATATCCAAGTTGACTATATCTATGAACCATCTCAAAGATTCAAGTTGGTTGGATGATGTGGATGATGAAGTGGAGGTGAAAAGTAAGAAAACAGAAGGTATTCAATATTAATACATTTCTGAGAATGTTCTTATGAAACTTAATGAAATAATGATAAGTTCAGTTCTCACACCTAATAACAGACTAATGATGGAAACAAAAGAAAATCATAATAGTCAACTAAAAGCAGAATCTTAGTTCTCTCTTTTTTTTAGTTGCACTGATTCAAGCAGCTCTGCTGATTGTAGGATTGTTTGCATTTAACTTGCAACCAACTGATGCTAATTGCCACAACTGAGCTTCTTAATTTCCACTAAATGTGTCTGTGAATTGGTATACTAATTGTACTAAGAGTGAAACATTTGGTTTTTAAATTCTTTAATTACATATATCATTTTTTTCTGTGCTGCAGGAGAATTTCTACCATCACGAACTAAAGGTCTGTAACTCTCATGTTTTACTTTGTTGCCAATTATACTGCTAAATACTTCATTTATATTAATGGAATACTTATCACGCCTATCACCGATATTAGGTTCTCCTTAATCCCCGTTTTCAATGTAATTTTACTCCATGCCTTTACTATAGCAATAAACATGATTAAAAAAACAAGAACTGTGCCAAACCATGCATATGAGGCAGTGAACCATCTGCACTACATTTACGGTTACGGACGTTTTCTTACAGACTTATTCTTCTCTTTCAGCAACAACTGTAGCCTTAGCTTACTTAAACTCTATGACTGTGTAAGGTCACTGCCTATTCAATTTTCTGTTGCTGAAATAAATTCTCTCACATGTGGAGTGAGTCACTAACCACAACAAACTGGCTAAATTAGTCTGATTCATTCATGCAGCAGCAGTTTGGCCAGTGTTACCTTGTTAAGTGAGGCAGTGGAGACACGATTTATAGCCTGCCTTTAGTGCTGCTCCTCCAGCTTTTTTTGGCCTTTGAGCATTTGAGCTAACACAATGTAGCCACTTTGTTGAGGTGCGCTCATGGGTGCGCTAATTTACCTGTGCCTTGACTTACAGGCTAGCCTGATTGAAGTCACTGAAGTTGCTTAACTAAATCCAGACTGAAAACTAAAACTTAGTGTGAAAATATATTTAAATAAACTGAATTTTTAAAAATGCCTTCGAAAAAAACCACAAGTCAAATGTGCTGTGAAAAAAATAGAGAGAAAGTGTTGTAATAGCTATTCTGAATTTCAATTTTGCACCTGACCAAGAACCCCCATTTTGTAATGATCATAAACAATCAGATTGTAAATAAACGAATAAAAAATCAGCTAAACCTAAACAATTTCAAATAATAACACTGAATCAAGCAAACTCTAACAAAACGTAAATGAAAAAATAAAAACTAATGAAAATATACAAAACAATAACAATAGTTGCTTAGGCTTTAAGATAGTTTGTGTACAAAATTAATATATCACTGACTTTTACAAAATTATTATTATTATTATTATTATTGACTCATTTTAATTATTTCTACTTTTATTATTGCTATTTTAATAGACTAATTTTAACCATCATCACTTTTTGTCAGTATAGCAACATCATAGTTATCATGAATCCATAGTAATGTGTATTGAAAATCTAGCATCCCAATGGCTCACACTGATAAGTGTGACACTTGAATTTTACCATTTTTGTGTTAATACAATATTATTCAAAGAGAAATTGCAGGATTTTTACTTTTTACTGCTCTCTTAATTTGAATAACCCGTTTTATTTTTTATAGTCATAGGAATGCAAACACAAAAGCAACCACCAATGACTGAAGTTCTGGAGGATGAAGCGGGGGAGGGAGAGGCAGAGGAAGAAGAAGGAGATGAAGGAGAGGAGGCTGGGGAGGACGAAGAGGAGGAGGAAGAAGAGGAATATGAGGAAGAGGAGGAGGAGTATGGAGATGAATATGAGGAAGAGGAGGAGTATGATGAGGAGTATGGAGATGAATATGATGAAGAGGAGGAATATGAGGAGGAAGAAGAAGTAGATGATGAGGAGGAGGAAGAGGCCAAAGGAGACGAAGAGCAGGAAGGCGAAGAACTGGAGGATGAAGAAGAGGAGGAAGGCGAAGAACTGGAGCATGAAGAAGAGGAGGAGGGGGAGGAGGAAGAGGCCAAAGGAGATGAAGAGCAGGAAGGCGAAGAACTGGAGGATGAGGAAGAGGAGGAGGATGATGAAGTTTCTCCTGAACCCATTTCCACTTCTGAGGATGAAGAGTCGGCTGTATCTCCTGATTCTGAGTCCGATGTTCCTGTTGGGGTGACAGACAGTGACGAAGAGGTAACTTTACCCGATGAAGATGATGAAAAAGACAAAGAAGAACAGGATGAAGATGAAACCAGTGACGATCAACTTCTTTCCAGTGAAGAGGAAGAGGGGGAGGACGAGCTGGAGGATGATGAAGAAGATGATGAAGATGATAGACTAGCTGAGGGTGTTACTGATAGTGATGATGTCATTGCAGAAGACACTAGCGATGACCTGGATCTTCCTCCTATTGTAGCTGGTAGTGAGGATGAGGAAGATATTGATCACAAACTGGCAGAGGAAGAAGATGAAGATGAAGAAGATCTTTCTCCTCTTCCTGCTGAAGATGAAGACTTGGAAGAAGACATAAAAGCTGTAGAAGACACAGACAAGGAGGAAGATGAGGAGGAGCTGGACCAATCAGACGAGGACATCTCTGTTGCATCCTCCGAACACTTTGCAGATGATGAAGATGATGAAGATGATGAAGAAGACCTTAAAGATGATGACCTTGACCTGGACTTTGACAAAGATATCCTTGAAGACCTTAAACACAAAGATGCTCAAGACATACCTGATGTCACTGAAGAGGGCATCCCTGATGATGACAAAGAGGAAGAGGAGGAGGAAGCTGGCATTCCTCCCTTTACGAGCACAGACAGCGGAGTCTTAGGTGATGAAGATGATGAGGATGACATTTCCTTTGAAACGGATGAGGACTCCACTGGAGAAACAATCCTGAGTGACTCTTATGACACAACTGATGATCAGGATGTTGATACAAGCTCTTTAGATGAGGAGGATGAAGAAGACGAGGATGAAGATGAAGAAGATGATGGTGTTAGTGAAATCTTGATGGCAGGTATTGTACAACTTTATTTTTTACATTTAGTTCTTATAAACACAAGAAGGATGGACAAAAATGAGCTAGAAGCAGCACAAGAAAGGTGATTTTTCATATTTCATGCTTTAAATACACAGTTGTCATAGTATATTGTGTTCTGTGTTTTTACAGCTGCTGCTGCAGGAACATTAACCGTCCAGGAGGAGGCAGCAAAGACTGATGAAGACCATGAAGACGGGGATGAGCTCGAAGAGGCTGAAGATAAAGGGAAGACTGAAGACGCAGAAACAAAAGAAACAGGTTTGTATCAAACAGCTGTTGTGGTGCAAAGGATTCATAAATGTATTCAGTATTGTTTCTAAAACCTGTTAATGTGCAATGAAACCGAAATATATGTATTCCTGATAGTAGGAATAGAAGGCAACACTAATAATAATAATTTAAAGAGGTAGCATCTTATTATAGGAGGTGCAAATAAGACAAATAATAAGCAACAACAACATATTTATTAAAGAGTGGGCAGTATGTCATGTGCAGTGTTGGGACTAACGCGTTATTAAGTAACGCGTTA